TTTCCAAGTGAAAAGTGTCCGAGTGGCCGCGAAAACGCTTACTGTTGCGTCACTATTGCATCTTGTAGATTAGTCAACGCTACGCAAATAAACACGGGGGAATCCATTCGACTGACTAATAGACTTCCGCATTTTAATTTCAAGTCAATGATTAGTTTTCAATGAATTTTTTTTTATTTGAAAGTAATTAATTTTTAAAGCATTAACAAGAGCCGCAGGAAAGGTTGTTGAGAGCCGCATGCGGCTCTCAAACCCTAGTTTGAGAGTCACTGTTCTAGACGATTCAAGCATTGCTTTGGGAAATAATATCACTTCAATTATATTGAAAAAAAATCTCGCTATATTAAATACAAAATCTTTGCTATCATAAAGATAAACCAATTCAGCCACTCTAAATATATTGCCTTCACAAAGCAATGAATGCAAAATTGAGAGTTCATGAGCTATGAACTTTTGTTCTTTTCTTTGTCTTGAACTTTTCATACTCCACAGCCCCTATTAATTTTTTTTAATTTTAATTACCATGTGATGGTCATACATATCTTTAACATGTATTTTCTGTCATGATGTATTATCTCAATGTGTCAAACTTTTAATTAGTGTGCATATTTTGCTCCCAGATGAAAAAAATGTATTGTCTTGTTTATTACCTCAGCTTGGAGTATTGACAAGAAAGAGGTGCCAGTGAATTACGTGAAATTTTTTTTAACTTTTTGTTATAATCAGAATTCACAATTAATTATAAACAGCTAACAATCAATGAGAATTATATGCGAAATCCCTCAGAATAAATTTTGTCTTCTAAAACCGGAGGAAAGAAAAACATATGGGTAGTTTCCATTCACACAAGTCTTTCATGAAGACTTGCTGGAGCCAAACTAAATGAGCATGGTCAGCTGTTCGGTAAGGCTGCAGGTTAAGTTTCAGTCTTGCAACCTCCTGCATAGAAGATAATATTAATTAGTGGGCTAAGAGCTAAATTTCTATATTTAGACACAAACCTATCTACGAGGCATTATGTACCAGCAATGTTACCTACGATTAACTGAATATGTAATATGTCTAATAAATTCACCTACAAAGTTCGATAGGTGCACACTTTGTGTTATGGAATTGTATCACAGCACCGTTAGGAGAAGTAAAAACAGTTTTGCTGTTCTGTATGACACCCTCTTTAAATGAAATTTCAATGTTTAAGCGCAAACATTAAAATTACTAACTTTGAACTTTGTCATTATCTGCAAAATGTTCCACACAAATCTTTACGCTATCGCGTTTGTAATCTTATCTGATAAAAAACATGAGAGCTACGCACAAATATATGGACACGTCAGACCAGAGCGAATCAGTCCTTACCGGTACCTTTGACGCTACCGGTGCCCTAAAAAAAGTTCTGAATTTCCAGTAGCAAGAATTTTGCAGAATCAAAACGTACAGCCAGTCATGACACTGACTAAAATCCGTGTTCCCATGGATAAAAAATAATACAGCAAAATTTTAGACGAAATATCAAATTTCATAGAATTCACGCAAAATTTTGAAATAAATAAAAGTAATAGCCTTCTAGCGAAAAAATTAATCTTCAACCACTGAAAATTTCAAAGCAATTGGTCCAGTATTCGAAGAGAAAAGCGACTTTTTAAAAACGTGTCAAAGAACAAGAACAACAACAACAACAACATAATATTAAAACGATCGTTATGTCTACTTCGTGTCCAAAAACGTCTATGATGTCCAGAATTACTCTCTACAGCTTGTCTGCCATTCCAGCTTGCCAAGTGAGCAAAACTTCTTAGATATAGAGATTATTATTTTTTTGTTACAGGCGCAAAAAGGCAGGTACTACACGTAAAGAAGACGCCGAGTAGCAGAAGCGAGCGAAAACGGTCGCGAAAAGCGACGAGAAATATGTGCATTGGAGCGTATCATGAAATACAACCTTTCGCCTGTAGTCTTATGGAGTGACGTCAGAGTTGCCTATCATGTTGTTTAATGTCATTGCTGTATCTAAGTTTGTTCGTATAAAAGTGGTCCGCCAAAATATTGGCTAGGCTTTACCGGTCCGTCACTTGAAAAAGGTTGCCGACCACTGCTTTATACCATGTCATGCGTGAAAAAAGTAAAGCGGGATATATCGATTTTACGGGGACACTTGGGCTAACTGTTTAACGGTATTATTAGAATAGGATTTACACATTTCTCCCGGGAGAAAGAAAAGCCGATAAGAAGGCTTGATCATATGACGATCCATAGTCTTTCGTCCGGATAACAGTCCATGTTAGGGCTTAGTTAGCTTCGTATTTATTTACTTGATATTGGACGAAGCCGTAACCGACCAGCAATTACGTGAACCACCCTGCGATGGGTATGAGTCCAGCAATCCTATCTCACATAATTATCCCCCGCGGAATTTGAACCTGCGAACCCATGCAGGGTAATCAGGGTGCTTTGGCAATCGTATTCCTGATGTTTAGCACGATGAGCAATACCGCCGAGAATATCATATAAACCGCCACAAAGCGCATATAACATCTTGTCAGCCGATAAAAGGAGTAATGTTTGTTTCGAATATAAGCCGCAAGTTGTATTTCACACTTGGACAAGATAAAATTGACGATGATATATGTAGAATATTTCGTAACATTTTCCTGTTGTAATTTGCCAAGTTTTGTAGCCCAAGGTAATTACCTACATAGGATCATAACTTGGAAATATCGTAGAAATGATTGATCTTTGGTAGCAAAACCGCTAACTAACATAAACCCAAAATAACAGTGAAGAAACCGTGACCTTTTGGTGTCGAGCATGGCGAGCGTGGCGTTAATTGATATGGGAAACCTTACATGCAAAAGTTGTCTGAAATTAATATAGACACATTTGAGATATTAAATCAAACGAAACCAATGAAATAAACAACATTTTATTCCTGACTGAACAAGATTTTTTCAAATATGGTGTAAAATAAGCAATTTCTTTGTGAATACAGAATAACTTTTGATTTTCTGATGTGGACAATTCCTACATTTATACTCGAAGCACCAAACACATTTTAGTACCTTGGTGTCGGGAAACGCTTCAGAGATTTCTTCCCAGAAAAGACATGCAGGGATGTCTGCAGCAGCATCGACGTCTTTATACATTCGATAAAAATCTTCTTTCGTCCCTCCTTCGGTCATTATTTTTATCCATTCCTCTCGAAGATAATTTTGATTTTCATCGAAATCATAGACTGAATAACCTAGAGTGCGAAGTGCTGAAGCTAAGGTCTTTGTTCCACATTTTGAAAATGAGACTACTAATACCTTCATCTCGCCTATGCGCGTACTACTTCCCTAGTTTACAATGATCTGTCAAACGTTGTGCATAACCCAACCGCGCTGCCTTCAAGAAAATGCTAATTTACACTCTGATAGCCCACATTCATGTAAACGAATTTGTAGTCAGTTTATTTGACGAGCAAACAACTATCAGTGGTGTTTAATGTTAAAGCTGTGTTAGTAATACTAACTTGACATGGTTTGCTAGGTCAATGGATGTCGGAAATAGAATAGCTGATTGCATAACCGCATGTTTAAGTGGTTGTGAAGTTATATTATATTATATTACGTATTCATTAAACTGCCGAACAAGAGAAGGCGATAGCGTGAACAAATATCAGACGTGTTCAATGCCTAATATTGAATTATAGACAAAGGCAACAAAACACAGAAAGGTTGCTGCTAAGTGCAAATGGTTTAATGGCGCCGAAAATATCCAAATGGAATTTTTTGAGATGCAATGCAATGAGGAAATAAAGCTATATTCTATTCAATAGATGTATCACTGCTTGATTTTAATTATAAAAGATATCATCAGTTCGGTTTTTAACTTTCTAAAAATATGAACGTCCCACCAATGACTTGCAACCCTTCATTTTGGCCCGCGAGCGACGAAAGGTTGCCGACCCCTGCTTTATGCAGTGCTTTTCCGTACCTAGCAATCAATGACGTGTTTCTGGCCTTCTTCCGAGATTGCCTTTTTCATGTTTTTGTAGCACAACTGACTACTTACCGCCACGAAATCTCATCCGTTGACGGCGTGCGTTTTCATTTTGCCGTAAGTGTTAAATTATGACATTTTATGTGTTAGATTGATATTTTGCGAAATTTTTGAGGTCGCTGAGAAATTTTTTTGTATTGTAACTGTGACGACCTCAAATTTTTATTTCAGTTTGTTCCGCAATTTTTAAAAATTGTTTTTGGTAGATGTTGCTAAATTACTGTTGCTAATTATTGTTACTGGAGTGTTGTCATTTTCCGATTTGTTCGGTGTATTCACATCTTAAATTGATTTTATATCGTGTTTGTTTATATTACTGTGTGTGTTTCACTAGTTAGGGTGAGCGGGTGCTTATTTTGTGCACCTTTTTAACACTAGCCTGATTTATGCTCGGCCCTCCATGTAACTCTGCATTATACCATAACGACCCAGATAAATTTGATTTTGTTGGTGCGTGTAAATTCCGCACTGTATATACAAGATCTTACTGATTAATTGAAAGAAATTTGCTCAAAGGCTCTCGTGATACGAATGAATGTTCGCTGACTAAAATAAGTGTGCAATCGTTTGTGCGAGAAAACACTCGTTTTCCCCAGTAGTGAGTGCATCAAAGCGCCATATTTTCAGTTACTACAAATGCTGGTATCAAACTACGAATATTTTTTAATATTATTATGTCGTGAAAATATTTCTACACTTGCCGCATTTGTGAGATCAAAGGTATAATATTGAGACCGAGTTCGACCTATGTTGTTTACCTGGTTCAAAATTAATTTGCGTCATATCCTTCTTTTGTGGAACCCACTAATATAAATTTATCAAATATCCTGATAGAGGTCGCGATAGATAGGAAAACATTCAAAGGGGGTCATGGGGCAAAAAAGTTGGGACCCACTGAACCAGCGTCATCATATATTACCTATCTTTCTCTAATTTTTGTCACAATGATCATCAGATCGACTTTAATATTGGCGCTATATATTTTTCTTGTACAACTTATGCATCGGCTAATTTATACTGCCCACTCTTTCTGTCAAGACTTTCCTCAGCAGTTTTGTAAAATCTTATCAAACAATGCATTAGGATTGAGACAAAATTTTATCCTACATTATCTGCATTCGATTCTCAAATTTATGACATTTATTTTCAAAACCTGCTAAATAAATTCTCGACACAAAGTAAGTTTTATATTCTATTTATATCATTTGAAACATTTTATAAGATGTGCCACGAGATGCTTTTAAATCCATTTTCAGGTCATCTTTCAGAAAAATGACCTACCCAAAAAGAAAACACCCACAGCTAATAACACTGAAATGACAAATATCGCTATGGACATTTCTTTTTTGATTTGACAAGCGAATGGGCTTTCTTTAATGATTTCTTCTATAACCGATCCTTTTTTGTTTTTATGTGGAAAAGGGACGTTTGGGATAGGTTTTCCAAGAAATTTGCACAGAGGTTCCCATCCATCTGACAAATTCATTTTTAAAAGTCGGTCTTTCGGTGCCCTCTGAAAACATGTGATGATAACTTGGTAAAGTTATTGTTTCATTATATATATGCAAAAAAATTGATAAACGAGGCAGTTTTGTCATAAAAAAATGTGAAAATACATGAATCTTTTGCTAGTATATATATATATATATGTCCCTCCCAGAATCTCAAATAGTTTAAATAGTAAACAAGTTTTGGAGCATGTTAAGTACTAAAAAGAAACAATGTCGCGGTTAATGATATGCAATCTTCTAGAATATGTCAAATTTATCCATTTTGAAGTTTTAATCATTACCCGTAAAACACTGGTGTTGTGGTCTCTGTATCTCTTCTTCAAAACAGTTGGACTTCCACCTTGGTAAACTTGATTCATTCTTTGTGGAGGGCAACAGAACGCTACGCGGCCTGTAATATAATTGCGAAACAAAGAAAATATGCTCGGCGGTTCATAGCATTAGAACACCGTACAAACAACGAATATGAACGCCTTCTATGACATTTAAAGATTTTTGTCAATGTAGCAGGGAAACAGACTACCATGATGAGCCTACCATGATAGCTCGAAGTCTAAATGTGAATCGTTAGTTAGTTACCTCCACTCTTTATCACGAACACAGCCAAATAAGGATATATGTTGTACAGTTATGTTTTGAAACACATTTAAACACTGAAATAATTGTGGCGTTGTAGGAACAAAACAGTAGTTCTTAGAATTAATACAACCTCAGGTACCTGCATGGTGGCTAAATTGGAAATTTTTGTAAGCTGTCCAAGAGAGAAACGGCCATATAGCAACAAAGTAATTATCTGCAATAGCCTTCATCTGTAGTTGGTAACTTTGCAACCATTCATCTTCACTGCTCCGGCATGTGAAAATAAGCTGAAATGATATATAACTTTTAGCAAATGAGATGTGACGTGTAAAATGATGTAATAAAGGCAAAAGCTAACAATTTTTATGAGGTAATTTGGAAATTCACTGTCTTCACAATTCCGTTGTAATCCTCGTCCTGAATTACAAAACTGGGCGCGCGGTGTATAAGCATCTGGTCAATGAGAATTGGTATGTCGCAATGTATTGAGTCCGCACGGCTAGTAGAAACCAAATTGAATAAGTCGCTTTGCAGTAGAAACATGATGACAATGCTTTTCCATACAGATTGTAGGTTAGTCTGCTAACCGAACACAACGTTAAGCAACCTAAAGTTGGATAGGAAGATGTAGTAGGCGATAGTATTATCGTTAACAATTGAGTTTTTGACTTTGTGTCTGCAGTTTTATGCATCAACATATTTGCGGTCAGAATGTAGAACTTAGCATTGCCCCACTATTTTGGGTTGGCCTTCAACACGAATATCCATCTTTCCTAAAAAGCAAAAAGGCATTACATTCCGATTCAATATCATTCAACTTTATTCTGGGAGGTATAGGATTAAAACAAAATAAATGAGAGACAAAAATCAATACCAACAAGCTCAAGTCTAACGACAATATGAGATGCTGTCTACTGTACAAACCTTACATGCATGCAGAACATGTCTAAAATTACCATCGACACATTTGAGTAATTGTATGCAACAAAATCGATGCAATTAATAGGGTACTACTTCTTTGATTAAAAAAGATATAATTTTTGATTTTTTGATGTGGTCAACTCAGACACTTATATTCGAAACATCAAAAGCAATTTTGTACCTTTACGTCAGGGAACGCTTCAGAAATTTCTTCCCAGAAAAGACAAGCAGGGATGTCTGCAGCAGCATCAATGTCTTTATACATTCGATAAAAGTCTTCTTTCGTCCCTCCTTCGGTCATTATTTTTATCCAATCCTCTCTAAGATAATTTTGATTTTCTTCAAAATCATAAACAGAATAACCTAGAGTGCGAAGTGCTGAAGCAAAGGTCTTTGTACCACATTTTGAAAATGCGACTACTAATACCTTCATCTCGCCTATGCGCTTTTCCCACTTTACAATGATCTGCCAAACGCTGTACATGATCCGAACGCGTTGAATTCAAGAAAATGCTACTATTCCCTCGGGCATGCCACATTTCTTTAAAAAACATTATAGTTGGTTTGACGTGCAAAGAAATATTAGTTAATGTTTAATGTTGTAGCTTTGTAAGGAATCAACTTTACATGGTTTGTCATGTCAATGAATGTTTGAAATAGAATAGCATTGCGAATCGCATGTCAAGCGGTTTAGAAATTTAACTTTGGTACTTAAAAATAGTACGTATTCACCAAACTATCGAATAAGAGAAGGCGATAACGTGCAAACAAATATCAGTCGTGTTCAGTGTTGAAGAATAAATAGCAGATTGCGAAAATAGTATGTATATTAGGTGATCAACCAGTACTACATACAGTACTGTGCTACAGGGTTTAAATATTTTTTATTCAATATGATGGTTATGAACGCGTAAACAAGTTTGTAAGCGTCAACTCGCGGTTATATTACCGGAATGGCCATACAGAATTTTTCAATGATGTAATACAGAAAATTTCTGTATTCTGGGTAATCACAATCCATCGCAAGTCTGCAAAACGCCACGTAAAAGATATTGAGGGTACTTTTGTCACGGTTCGTATCGCATGGCAATATTTGATTGTAATACAATTGTGTGTTTTTGGTGTAAGATTAGAATGAACTAGCATAATCAACTGCTACCTATCTTTATCTAGTTTTTGCAACAATGAGCGTCAACTCGTCCGTCACTTTGGTGCAAATACATTGATCTTGGTCCAATCCAGTGGTTCCCAACCACCTAATGTGCCGCGAAATGATTTTGGTGTGCCGCGAAAAGATTTTCATTTTTGAAATTCTTTCAAGTGATTCCAATATCCAATCCGCGAGAATTACCCCCACGGCGTTTGCTAACAAACATAAACGACAAATTTGAGAAGTCGTATTTGGGGGTTCCATTACATTTGAACCCACGAACATTTGAACCCATGACAATTGCACCTGCATACTATTGCACCTATGGGAATTTTTTTGTTTTACGGATATTTGAACCCATACTCACCCTACCTAACCCATGGGTTTTAGCAACCGCATATAGATTGAACCCGCGGATATACGCATGGGTTCAAATGTACGTGGGTTCAAATGTGCGGTCACTGTATTTGGGTATTGTTTCAATTCGAAGTTTTGCATAAAGCGCATCAAGTCGTTTCGTAAAATTGAAAACGGTAAACAAAGTAACAAATTGTTGTGCGAAATTTTTCCCAAGTTTTACCAAGGAAGTATTAATTGACTAGTAAAATTGCCATTATTGCCGATTTATTGAATCATTATTTAAACTCAAAATAACATTCCGGATTCACGCAATGACTTTGCCGGGTTTTTATTCAATATTTAATACGAAAATAAAACAGGCACAATATAAAAGTAAAATTATAAGAAGGTCAATTATCGTCTTCATAGATATCCGCATTCCGGCGTCAGCAATGGTAATATTGTCAGACTGAAATTGGGACGGGTATTCTACAAACGGTGAGGAGAAAGATCAAAGCCGGCACATAAGATAAAAATTGGAATGAAATCCGAATTCACTCTTTATTAGCTGTCTTTAACATATGTCGCCGAATTGAACGCGTAGTTCACCCAGGAACCCATTTACGCGTAGTCCTCCCAGGAATATAAAGCCAAGGAACTAATGCAATGAAAAAACCTTCATTAAATTTAGTAGATTGCGCTACTTCACGAAAGCGTGGTAGAATTGACGATTATTTCCTATCTGGAACACTAAAACGGTTACCTTTTTCAAATAGTTTCTGCGGTCTGAAGAGTCGAATATGCGTTTCGACATAGTAAATGCTATGATCATTATCATCAATATATGCTCGGGCCTTGCACGAAATTCACAACGTGAAAAGATACGGTCAGTGGTTTATACCAACTTTAAACGAACTCAGTATTTTTATCGATAATAAATAATTGTTGTGATGAAATACAGTTTGTTTGCATTTTTCATTTCACTCGCAAGTGCCGACAATAACACTATTGAATGATTTTGGCAATGGGTGAAACATAACAAGTTGTAACAAAAAAGAATTAGGTTGTGCAAAAGTGAGAATACCTGTGATAATAATAAGGGCGTAACGTGGAACGCGGAAGGGCGACGAAAACCAAACGCGTGATCGGAGATGCGTTTGAAGACCACGTATTACCCGTGCTGCTATTCGCATCACTTTTCGGAAATAATAATTTTGTAAAGCGACCGCGCCCCTCAACCCCTCTCGCCCGCGTTAAGAGTGTGTCTCTCTCAGAGAGTTAGGATTATGTCTACCTCACATTTGTCCACAAATTGCAGCAGTAGTAAAGAAGCACAAGGCATAACAGTCCTACTGACATTCACCATTATTAATCTATATCTGTTAGTAAATAAAGGGTATGTTGTATTTACATGAATAAAATGTCCTTTATCTGATCTTCATTTTTTTCTTAGTATTTTATAGCAAACTGGCTTTATGAGTATAAATGTTCATGTTTTGTGATAGATGTGCCGCGAATATTTAAAGTGCTTGAATAGTGTGCCGCGATATAAAAAAAAGGTTGGGAACCACTGGTCTAATCCACGGATGTTTCCCCGGGCATCGATTTTCTCGTTTATTTCCGTATCAATGACCAATCAGCAATAAGTCAACGATGACGTAACAATGACTATTTGTACAGTCGCTCAGACAGATATTGGTGGCTAGCATAGTTGAAAACATTGTCTCAGTTTTGCATGTTATTTGTCAGTTTTCAGCCGTATTTCAAAAAATTAGTTGTAAATAATTTGATTGTACTCATATCCCCCGAGGTGCTTTAGTTTAGTTGCAATAATCAAAAATCAAATATATTAGAGATAGATAGGCTATCAGTACCGGTAAACAGCACGTGGTTGAATATTTTAATATATACATGATGGTTTTGAACTTGTAAACCAGTTTTTAAGCGTATATACCCTTTCCTTATCACTTTGAAATAAGTATCAAAAATTTTGATATAGTACGAAGGTCGGGGAAACGTCCATGGTTGTATACTGTTCACACTGTCTATAAAAACGCGCCTGCATTTGGTTTGAGGCATAATTTCATCTTCAAAATATCCCGCATTTGGTTCGCAAATATTTTTCCAGTTGTTATGCAACATTTATTCTCAAATACTTCTAAATAAATTCTCTAGACAAAAATAGGTATTTAACTGAAACCATTTTGAACATTGCAACTCCGCTACTGAAATAGATATGTCCCAGGATGATTTCGAATCCATTTCTGTGACATCTTTCAGAAAAATGACTTGCTGAAAAAGAAAGCAACCACAGCTAATAACACTGAAATGGCAATCTTCGTTATGAACACTTCTCTTTTGATTTGTCGAGCAAACGGGCTTTCGTTAACGAATTCCTCCATCGATGATCCTTTTTTATTTTTATGTGGAAATTGCTCGCTTGGAATAGGCTTTCCGAGAAATTTACACAAAGGTTCCCATCCATCCGACAATTTCATTTTTAAAAGGCGGTCCTTTGGTGCTCTCTGAAAACGTATTAATTTATGATAACTTGGTAAAGTTATTGGCTCATTATATTTATATAGACAAAAAATGGATAAAAGGTAAGTGTATCAGAAAAAATAAACAGATAATAATAAATGAATCTTTTTCTGGCATATATATGTGTGTCAGTGGCTTGCCAAATTTTCAAGGAGTTTATCGTCAAGAAAACTGGAACATATTTGGTACAACAAAGAAAATGTCGCGATTCGACGAATATCAATAATTTTTATTTTAAACAATTCAAATAAATACAAAATTTTACGCGGCTCCCAACAATATATATAGGTTTAATTCTAGAATATATATACCAAAACTCTCCAAGTTTTATTGTTTACCTTTAAAACACTTGTGTTGTGATCTCTGTATCTCTTTTTCGCAACAGTTGGACTTGCACCCTGAAAAATTTGATTCATTCTTTGTGGGGGGCAACAGAATGCGACGCGACCTGTAACATTCAATATAATCGTGGAAAGATGCACAGTGCTTACATTACATTGTCACACCAATACAAACAACTAAACACTAGAGATTTATCGGTAATATCGGCCAGTTTTTTGGGTATTCTGTATCGGCAACATGTCGACAAATATTCCCGATATTTTTAGCACTTTAATCTAATCCAGAATTTTTTTAAATAAGGTACTAATTTTAAAGTTATTTTTTTGCTCAGAGAGATCGTGTTGGCGGCATTGTCCTCGTTAACTATGAGTCATGTTTGCCCCCACCCCCGGAATAGAAACGGGGAAATGATTCTAACGTTTGTTTTTTAGCTGTTTGTCGGCCAAACTATCTCACCATATCCTGCTATTTTCTCTACCAAATGTTTTTATTGGCATTTTTAAGATCCATGGTAATTATTAAGAAATAAATTGATAGAATATTAGTTATATTGGCACAAAATCCTGCGCAAACAACCCAATGTATCAGTTTGACATGATAAGTAAACCACCCATATTAGTAGAATTTTACCACCCACAGTAGCGAAACCCCATGAGTTTTCTAATCGAACTCCGGAATTACTTGCGTCGGCGCAAAATGAATCTGCGCAATTAACGCATCAGGATCTCAAACATCAATTTCTTATTATTTGTGACATCTCTTTTTTAATCTGAAATAGTGTGCACTGCAAATAATGCTTACGGACTGCTATTGTTTTAACTCTCTCGCCCTGCACACTTATGAGAGTAATTACATAGTATATATCGGAATATCGGCTTTTTAAAATATCGATGTTTTCCTTTGGTATCGGTATCGGCGACAAAAATGGTATCGGTGCATCTCTACTATACACGCCTTTAAAAAGATTTGAAGATTTGCAATGTAGCATAGTGAAACTGAGAATCGGACCATTATGATGAACCTATATCCCTGAATCTGTATAGGAATCGTTAGTTCGTTACCTCCACTTCATGCCACGAACACAACCCGTATAAATCAGAACAGCAGTTTGTCATATATATGATCAATGTAATGTTAGAACAAAGCCTTGCTTGCTGCCCTCAAATTACTAAAATCTCAAGTACCTGCATGGTGGCCGAATTGGAAATTTTTGTAAGCTGTCCATGAGAGAAACGGCCACGTGGCAACATAGTGATCATCTGCAATAGCCTTCATCTGTATTTGATAACTTTTCAACCATTCATCTTCATTGTTGCGACATGTGAAAATAAGCTGAAATGATATATATAAAAACTTTTGATAAATGTGAAGTGCTGTGCCAAATGATGGATGGATGCAATGGGGTTTGAGATAGATATCCTAGCATGATTTGTGATGTAATATGTAATTTTGCAGTTCCAGGTAACAAAGGATGTCATTGTATTAATTAATGTGACTGTTCAGAAGATATAGCATTATAGATTATTCCAATTTTCTGATTGCACTCCTCAGGGAAAACACGTTTGGAATCTCATAGCGTTTGATCAAGTAGGATAGGAGTTTGGGATATTCGCCAATCACATGATGATTTACACATCTGTTTGTTGATTACAGCTTTCCCTTAAAATTGCGCCTAATTATCTCAAACGTTGAATAATTGTCATACCGGATCTTCTCCTATTAGCGGAAAGTATACGATACTCGTATTGGGTAAACTCTACGTATAGCTCAAGTATATATATAATAGTTTCATAGTTTCATATAATAGATACATGTACTTGATATTGGACGAAGCCGTAACCGACCAGCAATTACGTGAACCATCCTGCGATGGGTATGAGTCCAGCAATCCCCCCGCGGAATTTAAACCTGCGAACCCATGCGGGGTAATCAAGGTGCTTTGGCAAGCGTATTCCTAATGTTTAGCACGATGAGCAATACCGCCAATAATATCATATGAACCGCCGCAAAGCGCATATAACACAATATTGTTTGTTTCGAATATAAGCCGCAAGTTGTATTTCACACTTGGGCAAGATAAAATTGACGATAATATATATATGTAGAATATTTCGTAACATTTTCTGGTTGTTATTTGCCAAATTTTGTAGCCCGAGGTAATTACCTACATAGGATTTGAACTTGAAAATATCGTAGAAATGATTGATTGTGACCTTTTGGTGTCGAGCATGGCGTTAATTGATATGGGAAACTATACATGCAGAAGTTGTTTGAAATTAAGATCGACACATTTGAGATATTAAATTAAACGAAACCAATGAAATGTACAATATTTTATTTTTGACTGAATAAGATTTTTCAAATATATATGGTGTGATAAGCAATTTCTCTTTGAATACAGAATAAATTTTGATTTTCTGATGTGGACAATTCCTACATTTATACTCGAAGCACCAAACACATTTTAGTACCTTAACGTCGGGGAACGCTTCAGAGATTTCTTCCCAGAAAAGACATGCAGGGATGTCTGCAGCAGCATCAACGTCTTTATACATTCGATAAAAATCTTCCTTTGTCCCTCCTTCGGTCATTATTTTTATCCATTCCTCTCTAAGATAATTTTGATTTTCTTCAAAATCATACACAGAATAACCTAGAGTGCGAAGTGCTGAAGCTAAGGTCTTTGTTCCACATTTCGCAAATGAGACTACTAATACCTTCATCTCGACTGTGCGCGATCCCCACTTTACAATGATCTGTCAAACGTTGAGCATAACTCGACCGCGCTGCATTCGAGAAAATGCTAATTCTCCCTCTGCTGGGCACTGGCCAACATTTCTTTAAAACGAATTTGTATTCGATCTGTTTGAGATACAAACAAATATGATGTTTAATGTTGATTGATAGCATTAACTCGATATGGCTCATTAGGCCAATGAGAGTGGGAAATGAAATAGCTCAATGTGAAAAGTCATGTAACACAACCGAACAGGAGAAGACGATAACGTGCTAACATACATAGGACGTGTTCAATGTTGAAACGGTAGGAGTAAACTTAACTTTATATGTTTTTTAATGAAGTAAAGTAGTACGAGTATTCAGTCTGTATCACGCCACCGCCAATAACAACCTAATAATGTAGCCATTATTAGGTTCATTTCGTTTTCAATAACTTTGGTTGTTTGAAATATTAACAATACCACCTTCAACCAGTGAAAGTTTCTAAGCAATTGATCCAGTAGAATGAGAAAAGCGATTTTCAACAACAACGAGATAATAACAAAACGATCCTAATAATTTTTATTTTATTTTTCTATAAATAATATCGTAAATATATACTACTACGATAATATTAGTTAGCCAGACATTTTCATCATAATAATAATATTACTTTGATACATAAATCATTCCCCAATTCCATGTGTAATTTATACATTGTACATGCATTCCATTTGAAGTTTCAATCCATTGGCTGTCATATTCCAATATATTTATCCCATATTCATAATTAATTTAGGTTATTGTAATATTACAGTTAATAAATACACATGTATAAAAGTAAAACAAGGACTAATTAGATCTGTATATAGTACAATACAATAGTAGATTTAGTCATGTGATATCAGTAAAGTCTTATAAATATACATTTACTGTGTTCTAAATAAAAATGTTATACAATTTTTGCATAACATTTTTGTACTGAGAGTTATTCCTTTGAGTCTCTATATTTTTACGACAAACAATCGGCATTTTAACATTTTTGGCAACTCTGTCCAAATTAGGCATTACATTTTGAAAGATAGCCTCATTTCTTTCGAGCCATATTTTATGCCTGGTTATTGACATTACAATGGTTATACACTCTAATTCTTCAGCAGTATGATAAAATTCATAATCACTGAAATCAAGCATTAAACAAGTTCTGAAATTATTCTTTAGTTCAATTTTTCATATAGTTTATTGAACACTGTTTGAGCAAATGCACATTTCCAAAATAAATTAGCTGTAAATTCTGATTGATTCTTTCTTGCATAACACACATAGTTCATATCCTGCAATGTTTCGGATACTTGGTAATGTTTTTAAAAGTAAAATATTCCACATAACTTTATAATTAAACTCATTTATATGATTTGGTAGTATTTTATGGTGTACACTTTCATAGGCACTCGTTACGTCGTTAGGTTTACAGAATATAACATTGTCAATTCTTGGGCACACATATTGCGTACAATGACATAATATAAAACTTTGTGTACGCCATGCTTTACATCTTCAGGTTTTATGTTGTATTATTTTATAAATTCTATAATGCTTTTGTAGTTTTCATGAGGGATGCTCCTATGTGCTATATTGTTTTTCATATTCATTGTGAAATAATAACTCATCTGATGTTCAATATTATATTCTATATATGTATTATATATGTTTTGGTCATCTCCAGTTCTACATTCAATATTCAAATGCCTCCATGACGTATATGCATTTACAAATATAGGTATATATCCACTAAATCATATCCTCCCATATCTTTCGGTTTGCACAGTGTTTCAATTGAAATCGCCATTGTTTTGTTGCTGAGAAAATATTTCTTCACTATAATTTTGATTTCTTTTTCTATCCTGCGTGGCATTGTATATATTCTAGAATCTAGACAGATGTAGACATTTTACCTTTTGTTAGTGGGCATCTTCCTTCGAATGTTACTTTTATTTTCTTCAGCTTGTCTACTTCTTCTTTTATATCCGTAATGCATTTGTTCCAATTATCGCTTCTTTCATTTCCTCCTCCAAAATTAATGCCTAATATTTCCACTTGTGTAACATCATTTATGTTGAACGAGCTCGGTGTTTCTTGTAATCCCAATTTCATGATTTTTGTTTTTGTTCAATTTCACTGCTGTTGCCCGTTCAAATTCTTCTATTGTTTTCATAGCCATCTCTAATGATGTTTATTTATTCAATGTTAAGGTTATATCGTGAGCAAAAACTATTTCTTTTACTTCAATATTTCCAGGTATTGAATCGATGTTATTAATGGCTCAATTGCTATTATAAATAGATATAAACTTACTGGATCACCTTGCCTGACCCCTCTTTTAATAGTAAAACTTTCACTTATTCCACCATTGATGATAATACAGTTTTTCATGTTATTTTGCATTACCTTTATTACACTAATTATTTTATTTTTGAAACCAATTTTTTAATGCTTCATACATATACTCCAGATCGACAGAATCAAATGCTTTTTCAAAATCCAAGGATACCAGTAATGATTTACTATTGCCTCGTTCCGCTTCAGAAACTATATCTCGTACCAAAGCTTATGAATCTGTGATTTTTCTCCCAGGTATTGCAGTTTGATATTGAATTATTGTAATCGGCATCACCATTTTAATCCGATTCGATAAAATCGTTGATAATATTGATTAATCCTAAAGATTTGTGCCATTAGCCATTTGTTCGAGGTTATACTGTCTTTTGGGCTGGTCTTCGCGTATAAGTAAATGAATCACGTTTGTGATTGTTCGCTTACTTTATCAATAGGATGCAAGTGCGTGTGTTGGTAATGTGTTGCAATACTCATTTTCTTTTTATCGCGGCAATATAACCAAGTTCTTATAATATGGACGGCGCAACTGATCAGCTTTTATTTGACTGATTCACATTCGCAACGCCACACGACAAGTATTGAGGAAAGTAGTTGTGTTTAATAAGGTACGTATAGCTAATAGCATGAGATTGATTGGTATCAATATTTTTACATGTTGTTGGACGTAACGTTATATATAATGGAATAATGCGCTTACTCTTTTCTATCACAATGAACAGTAACAATGGCTCGGATGTATATATATTTGTTTGACTTATGCGACGGTGAATCTACAACTCTATACTGCTCACGATGTCGATGAACAAGCGCATCAGTAATCTGTCAAAATCCATATTATGTTCTACATTTATATTGCTGCCACCACGCCAGTAAATATTACTAGATCCTGCTGCGATCCTTCGTCCGGAATACAACTCACAAATCCATTGTGACATAATATTGAACGCAAACAACAACAGGCTCCCACACTCATGGGTAAGTTGATTCCAGTGTTTCCATGCAATGAAACCGAAGGGAAACACTATTAAACTGTCTATACACTTTAAATACCGTGACGTGTGGCCATGTGCGAGTTGATTTTGATTCTTCTCTAATCGCCTGATGGTTCACAAAATCCTCAATAACAAAACTAAATTAGGACAAATGGACTATACGGAAATATTAATACCAACTTTGAGAAAATGTAACATTCTTGCGCTTAATTGGCATTTTGGTGCGCCATTGCCATGCGTCACAAAAAGTAGGTGAAACAGGGAAGGAATCAAATTTACTTACCATTCTACAAAGTGGATTGAGCGAATCAAAAAATTACTAGTGTACATTGTTTTCGTTTTGACAAAACTAAATTTTTTTTAACCAAAGTGCATTGAAACTGCCTCTTCCGCTCTATTACATTTTTGTTGTTTGGCATCGGAGGCGCTAGTGGTACATACGTTCACCGATTTTACTAAATGTGACTTCATAATACCTTCGCGCGCTTTCGCAAAGCGTGAAACTTCCGAGTACTTGATTCGCTTTTTTGGTGGTTTTTCGCTGTTTTTGCACGTTTTGGCAAGGTTTCTAGTGCTCTTTGACGGTATTCGACCTTCTTAGGACACTGGAATTGCAGATTTGTAGTGTAAAGTTTTATTTGTCTTTTTTGATATATTTAAAATTATTATCAACAACCTAAATTACTAAACTGTTCCAATCACCTGTCGATTGTTTCGTAAGCTGGATGCTACACTGTCAAGTAGCCTACGTAAATTTATTGTTGGTGGTTGGTTTGTTTGGCGTATACACAAATATATACATATCAGAGGTGTTCAATGTTAAAGTTGTTTGAATAAAATTAATTTGACACAGTTTATTATTGCAGTGAATGTGGGAAATAAAATAGCTGATTGCGGAAATATTTAGTAGCATGCGTTTACTGAACTGAAGTAATAAAAGGTTAAAGATTATCAACAAAAAATATTGTTTTCATATTTGATTTTATTGTTAAAATGTATTGCACTTTCAAACGCGCATTTTGGAAGTGTTTTTGCGAGCTGACAATTGCACTAGTTTACATTTCCAATATTTTTTCTGTATAAAATGTTCAAGCAGCTGCATTTAAAAAGTACCGACAGCTAGTATTTTCCACCCCATTTCGGCAGCTGTATATTCATATTTCACGCAATCAAACTAGTACTTTCATACGGAAATGATGGCTAAGTTTTGAATTTATATTTCGGAAACATAACCAAAATTTGACAAAAACCTCCCAAATTTATGAAAAACAAGTGAGCAATTCTCAAATATATGAACCGTAGGCCTATGTACATCACGATTCCAAACGAAATTAATTGTTCGTTATACATAGCGAAAGATTAGCTAAAGTATGTATATACATCGAACAATACAACGTCATAGACTTATGTAAACAGGAAATGATTTTATTGCACGAATTTACTCAAATGGACACACTATCCTATGCCATTGTGCTCAATGTATTCTTTTTCATATTGTTGTTTAATCCAATCTCTGTTATCATGGTAAAACCAGCGCAGCATAGAGAAAAAAATGCGGCAAAGTACTGCGCTGGCCTGTAACTCCCGGTCATGTCTATGATAAATCCCACAGTAAATGGGTAAACGATGAGCCATATTCCAGCCAAGAGGCAACGTAATCCTTGAGCAGCAGCTAAGTCCTCGGAACGAAAAAAGTCTGATAAAATCGTTACAGGAAGAGCTGTAGTTGATCCTAAAAAGCAGAATTTTGTGATGTTTATCTTGATTCGTGAAGTTTAGTGATTTCCGAATATTCACGCTTTCCATCGTATACATAGGCCTACTCGAAATGTACAAATATTTTCGCATGAATGTTCTCCCCCAGAGAGCCACATGTCACACTTGTATGGTACTTCAGGATTCTGAAACAATATAGCACATAAACACTCTGCACTTAAGATAATAATGAACGTGGAGTCGCGATGGCGATGATCAGTTTCATCGTACCATACATAATTTAACAATAATGACTTTATAGTAATTGCATAATTAATAGATGCTTTGTTCGGTAACGGGTATAATTTGCAAAAATCTACCGGATTTGCAAGTTACACACATGTGCTTTACAAGTCGAACCTGTAATTATGTCATTCATAAACAGATGAGTAACAATGCGACAAAGCTAACATTAGTGAACTGATTGATAGCAACGCAAAAATGTATAAAGGTCGTACCTGCAAATATACCATTGAAAAAACCACCGACTAAAAATCCGACGAAAGTTTCAAATAGAACTGGAATCATAATCGAGAGGCTAAACAAAATGGAAAAGATGGCGAGAATACGAGATCTTCTGATAGACACACATGAACGATATGTTATTGACATTCGCCGGCGAACTCCTGTGGAATCTGCGTATATAATATTACGATGAAAGCAACAATATACAGTGGCGTATCTATGGTATGGCAGCCATGGCCCGTGTCATGGGCGCCGTTTGAATTGGGGCACAAAATGGGTGAAAAGTTTTATCCGTAAAATGTTTCAATAAAATGATTTCAAATTGGATTTAAACTCGTATTTTTTCTTCAATGATAACGTTGAAGTTTTTCAATTCAACAACAATCGTTGAAAATTGTCAATCAACGAGGCACATTTTTAAATTTCGCCATGGGCGCCATTTTACGTATATACAAAACTGATAATATATATATGTGTGTTTACAATAAACAATGTACATTTACGCTAGTGGGAGAAAGCGTTATGTGAAAAGAAATTTAATGTATATATACGAGTACTGTATATAATTTGTCGGAAATAAATTGTGATATTCTTTTCGTTCAATACAATGACATCCAAGATGGATGAAGTCTCCAAATTCAACCTGATCCCAGAAAGCACAGTTCATTGTAACATATGTTCAATGGTGTTACCGCTGGATTCCCATAACCCAATCTAAATAGTATTACATTTACCTTGATCTCTTATTGACATTTTTCTGATGGAGCTCGCACTGAAGCTCGTTAAATAACCAGAAATGGGACCGACCAAGACCGATGAGAGTTCCTGCAAAGTAATAATCCAGATAGCTTTAGATTCGTTAATTCCAACACTTTGTGCATATCTAACTGTGTAGAGACCAACTGAAAATCGCGAAACGGTCACAAATGACATTGCAAACGCGTAACAAACAAAATAGCGATTTGTCAAAAGTCGTTTCCATGTTTCAGGCGAACCGGATTTCATTGTTTTGCTTTTTGTACTTTGACCGTCTTTTTCACAACAAGGAAGTTCATTACTTGTAGAATCCTCCACGGGTATATGAGAATCGTTATTATTCGACTTTACTTTCAGTTTATTCGACAATATCATTTTATAATACCAGGTCATTAATAGGCCCAACGGCAGGGCATTGAGAATGATCCCACCAGTCAAGAGCAGAGCGCCCCTCCATCCGTATAACTCAATCAAATATTGTGTCAGCGGAGCCATGACAAATCCAACCATAGAGTGCGAAGTACTGAACATGTTGTTGACGAAAGAGAGCCGCTCAGGTACTGCATGGCCTGACATTGTGTACCATGATAGGTTACATATTCCAACTCCAAGAGCTGCAAAACATAGGTCCTGTTTTCAAATTACAGATGTATATATTTCAACATTGAGGCGAAATTATTTAAAGTGAAGCGTTCTATTGGAACGAACATCTAGAACAGATTTTTAGAACCAGTCGTTTTGTCGTGCCGGAAGTAATGTGTAACTATGATTATACTACATTTATATTCAAAGCAAAAGATTCAGTTGCAAAAGAGCTAGATAAAATGATAAATCCTATAGGAAATGACGCCAAAACGTTGAATAATATTGGCTATCAACATTACGTTGAAATAACTCTACATAAAAATATAACGTGGATTGAACAAATAAATAAGGAAAGAAATGCATCAATATATAATATGTCAATTTAACGCCCTAAATATCATGCTTAGGTGAGGACGGGGACAACAAAAAATTAGCTCATTGAGGACATTGAGGACAACCAAAGAATTCGAGTTATGCATATATCTATAAAAGTGAGTGCAAAATACAGGGTGGTGTTGACGACGTCTTAAGCATTATTTGAAAAATACATGACATAACACAAGAACAATAGGGCAACATTAATTATTATTTAGTTTTTCATTATTTGAACTGCAAATAGTCCAAACACAACAACTCGCGAATCACTGATAGGTATAAGCACCAAAGTAAAGATTTTTTAACTCTTGTTTGAATAAATTATAGTTCTTGTAACAAATTACACCAGAAAGCAAGACTGGAAGAATAACGAGTAACCTAAAATGTACTATTGTGAAAAAAACGAGTTGATATGCGAGTAAATGGTACTTCGATTAACATAATAGTCAGCGAAGGCAATAAGCCGATTATTGGACACGTAGTGGTCATAGCGATCGTTTCAATATTATGTTGTTGTTGTTCTTTGACACTTTTTTGACACCTAGTGGAAAATCTAAAAAGTCGCTTTTCTCTTTGATTACTGGACAATTGCTTTGAAATTTTCAGTAGTTGAAGGTGGATTTTTTTTAGAAAGCTATTACTTTTATATATTTCTAAATTTTATATGAATTCTAATAAATTTGATATTTCGTCCAAAATTTCTCTGTATTTTTTCATCCATGGGAACACGGATTTTAGTCCGTATGAAGACTGGCTGTACGTTTTGATTCTGCAAAATTCCTGCTACTGAAAATCTAGAATTTTCTTGATGGTACCGGTGGCGTCAAAGTTACCGGTAAGGACTGATTCGCTCTCGTCTACGTGTCCATATATTTCAGCGTTTCTCTCTTGTTATTATTATGGTGGTGGTAACTTGGTAGTGCATAACTTTTATAAATATCAGTAAAATTTGATTGTAATGATAGTTGAAATGTAATTTTGATTGAGGTTCGGTATTAGTAATATTGCGATAAAACTGTTTTTATAGTTAGAATGCCACATTAGAAGGTTTTGTTTGCTGAATAACATTTTCAAGAATAGTACCCCAAATTTATTTTTAAATCAACCTGAGGTTTGCATTAATTTGTTGTCATTGGCATAGTTTTTGATTCATCAACATTTTGATTTTCATCCAATTCGCTACTTGTCCTATTTCTGAAGAACATCGGTAGACTTCACAATCAATAATATTTGTATTGTCTTCGAACAATTTCGAATATAATGCGGAACTTCAATGATAAAGATTAAGAACAATGTGGAACCCAAACAAGAACCCTGAGGGACCCGTGGGACATTCGTAGGGCAGGTAAACATATATACTCATTTTTACAAATTGCGATCTATTGGTCCAGCAATAAGTTGTTGATTTACCGCTACTTTACTTTATAGCTCAGAGATTAAAAGTTTTTAATTAACAGTAAGGTTTTTAAGATCAAAGAATGTTCCCTTTTTTGTCAGTTTATTATAAAGTTATCTTATTTAAATTTGCATATGGAGTGAAATGTTTGCTTTGAAAACCGAATTTATTTACTACCTCGTGTACCGTACGTGTTAGGCGGTCGAACACATCTCTTTGGTGCTACAATACAGCTGAGAAAACGGTGAGGTGATGCAACCACCTCCAAGCTAATTCAATTTACAAAGTTTAAGCATCGGCATGAAGCCAACTTTAAATTTATTACGATTTTTGATGTTTTGGTACTCCCTTCTGTTCAGAATAATAATTGCAATACAAACTCACCCGCAGTATTTACCTGTAAAGATACCAAATGATACGGCAATCAATTCTACGTTTGTCATGAAAGACGACAGCGCAAATCCGAAAGATGATAAAATGATTCCGATAACAGCTGCAATTCGTGCTCCACATTTTTTGAAGATTACAGTTTCAATTGGCCCTATGATAAGCGATACAAATTAATAGTTCGATCAATTTACTCGAATACAAACCAATATAGGCTGTCTAAACAATAACAGAAGCAATCGGCAAATTGCATTTACTGGCCGATACGAACCAACGAGAAAACACTGTTCAAATAGATATATGACCAATGCAATGTCAGTAAAACTCTGAAAACAATATTAATTTTGCAAAACTATTTATTTAGAGACCGAATTGTTATTTGCATATTGCCGGTATATGTCAATGCTGTGTAATCAAACAAAGTGCCAGGAAAGTATCAGTGGTAAAAAACGTCTATAGTAAATACAGTATACGTTTTAATTTACGAGAATAAAGATGTAAAACTCTTGGTCTCTAGACACGAATAAAACATACTGCCATAATTTGGTTAGCAGTTTGGTTCTACATTTCCGATGGGTGCCGAATGTCGGAATATGATCCAACTGCTTTGCGCTCTTTACGGAGAATATAGAACTGATCATACAGTAACTTACCGTATAGATACATTAGCGACAGATTGATTCCCAATGCTAGAGATGTTAAGCTTGCAGAAGAGTCAAGATCACGTTGAAGATGAATGAAAAATAATCCGAGTAATTTATTTGGCGCATAAAGTATACCGAAACTTGCACATCCCGCTAACGTGAATGCCGTTTTATTCTTGCGGCTCATATTCGTATAACTTTCGGATAGACTACGGCTCCACCTTGTCAGATAGCACAGCCAAGAATGTATTTGCTAGTAACTATACAGCTTGTAGTTCTGTGAATAAACACACGCTTCCATCGGCCAATACTGAGACAGCACATACGAATGTCGTGATGAAGCGCTGCGTCGAAGGTGATGTCGAATTATACATGCAATTACGTCATGGTTCAGTAGGCACCGTCATTCATTTAGATTTAGGTCGAGTGTCTCCTCAGCGAATAAACTTAAGGTCAATAATGGATGACAAAGCGCCCAAGCCTCGTACCGTAAAAGCGACACTGCGACTATTTCGTAACAGTGTATAGAAGGGATTTGCAACCTGCGGTCCGCGAGCCAAATGCAGCCCACAAGAAAAAAATTATGCGGCCCGCGGAGAAGTGCCAATTTTTAATGGTGTGTGGGCCACGAAGCGTGTTTTCAATCTAGTTTAATCTGGTACATGCGAGTAATTCAAACCTCTTTGCGTTGCAAAGCATAATTGTGTGCCTAATTATCCTCTTGTATTACAGGTTGCACAACCCTGGTGTGTAAATTATGCTCGTCGCCGCATCGCCGATTACCCTGCGTGAGTTCATGATGCGCGCAGCATCATAGCAGCATAGCGAACTTCTTCGGCGGTACGAGAGTTTTAAATTTTTAACAAATTAATGTATATGTTTTCGGTAGCTTTCGCGAGTTCAATTATTGGACACGTTTAGTGGACATAACGATCGATTTGTTGTTATGTTGTTCTTTGACACTTTTTGAACACCTGGTGGAAATTTAAAAAAACGCTTTTCTCTTTGATCACTGGACCAATTGCTTTAAATTTGAACGTAGGACGGCGGCGCTAGAATGTGTGGGTGCTATTCGTTATTCTTTTATAAACACGAATAACGATATTCGAAGGTCGCGATAATAACATTAAATTCAAATTGGACATCCCGGCTTATGAGTTTTCTAATTGAACACCGAGATTATAAGCGTTACTGTACAATTTATCTTAATCAGTTAAAGCAAACACCAAACATTAATTTCATATTATGTGATATATCTTTTTTTCGATCTAAAGACCATTGTTTTAACCCGTCTGCCGTACACAGCACCCTTAATTAAGTAATAATTACATAGTATCGGAATATCGGCCTTTCTGTGGTATCGGTGACAAAAGTGGTATCGGTACATCTCTAATAGGTACCGGTAGGTGATTTTTTGGTGATCAATTCAAAGAAAGGTAGTCATCAATGTATTTCTTTTTTAGTTCCCTTTTAAAACCATGATAGGATAGTGATCTCATTTCACCTGATATATTATTCCATAACCTTACACCCACGTATTTGATGGAATTCTGTGTTCTACATGACGTGTATCTCGGTACATGAAAGGAATCTTGTGAAGCAGATCTTGTGTAATACGAATGAACATTAGTCTGCTTGGTGAAATATCCTACGAATGCGGTTGGAAGTTTGCCGTCAAAGTACTGGTGCATAAGTTTCAATATCTCAAATTTATGGACATGGCAAAGTTTCATTATTTTGAACCTGTGATACAATGGGTCAAGTCTGGATCGTAAAGGAGCATTGCCTATTGCTCGGATTGATTTATTTTGCAGTACCTCTAATCTGTGAAGGAGTGTGGAAGATGCGATTCCCCAAGCTACGATACCATATCGAAGATATGATTGAAAGAGAGAAAAATAAACTAATCGCATAGCTGATGGGGTGAGAAACTTTTTAAGTTTGAATAATATACCTGCTGTTCTAGCAAGCTTGCCAGCAATGTAGTTAATATGAACTGCCCATTTTAACTGGTTATCAATGTGTATACCCAAGTATTTGTATGAGTTCACATTCTCAAGTAATATACCATTAATAGTAATTTGAATCAAATGCACACTTCTTTCATTTTTTAGGGGATTAATTGGAAGTGATTTGGATTTTTCAATATTTATAGTTAGTTTGTTACTAGTCATCCACGTTGCAATTTTTTGCATTTTAGAGTTCATGTGTATTTGCAAGTCATTTGGCGAGACTGAACTTCCAAATAACCCGGTATCGTCAGCGAAGAGTTTGACCAATAATCTGGTGGCATGAGGAAGATCGTTGACGAATAATACGAACATTAATGGGCCAATTATTGTGCCCTGGGGAATTCCGTATTGTACAGTTGCAAGTTCGGAGCAATTTGATCCTATTTTGACATATTGTTGACGCGAATATAAATAGCTCTGGAAGAATTTTGATGCATGTCCGCGAATGCCATAGTGGCTCAGCTTTCTAACTAATATGTGATGGTCGACAGTGTCGAATGCCTTTTTTAGGTCGAGAAAAATTGCACTGATATATTCCCTTTTCTCTAATTTATCATAAAAGTAAGTTACCATATCTAGTATTGCATGATTAGTACAGTGCTTCTTTTGGAAACCAAACTGTGGCTTATTAATAATGCTATTTCGATCTATAAATTGTGTTAGTCTGGTATGTAAAAGTTTTTCTAATGTTATAGTCATAGTCGAAAAACTGAAATGGGGCGATAGTTGGTTGCACATTCTTTGTCTCCAGCTTTGAACACTGGTGTGACTTTAGCAATTTTCAAACAATTGGGAAAAATACTGATATCAGTACTGATGATAGCTAATTCCCTGACAAAAACCCAAAATACAACGCTAAAATACCTGCAATGGCATTGTACTGAAACAATAATATCAGCCTACTGCCTAGCACAAAAACATCCAACAAATCCCCATCCCGCAGTCACAAAACCACAAACAAACATCCCTGATAACCCACCGGAGACCAAAGGCACTCCCACAGACACAAAACACCTAAAATCCTACCGAAACAACCACACTCAGACAACTGCACCCTGCCAACCATAGCACACGCTAACAGGCACACCCGGAAGAACAGATTGACAGTGTCACAACGTCCCCCAGTGTCCTCAATACCAAATAAGGAAACAATATCACTGACATCATCCAACAGAATAAACAAGGGTATATAAGTATAAGTTTATTTCGACTCCATAATCAGTAATGGCCGATAAAAAAATAGATAAAAGTAAAAGTAACTGATTATAGAATCGGGAAAGCGAACAAAACCTAGAGTAAGGTTTGAAACGTACAGATTTTAGATGGAAAGGTATTGATAAAAGAAGTAGTACGTGTTCGCTCACCCAAAAGTAAAAAAAAAACTAATTAAGGCACGCACGCACACACACACACAATCATCGAGACATGATACTGTCGGAAGCGAAAAAAGCGAGACTTAAAAGTAAAAAGGAAGGAAAATATACAAACAAATAAAATAAAAATGAATAAATTCTTTTGCCACACCAAATTAATAACTTTATGAGGATTGCCAAATTGGATACCGAATTAGTCAACAAGAGTAATGTATTCGTCACACGACGATGCAAAATTTCTCTATGTTGCAGAGTTTGCACAGCTGAATTGTTGCGTTCCATTTACTTGTTCTAAAATGACGGATACCAACTGTTAAGATACCAAGATAATTATGTGCCTAATACATGCAAATGGATTTGTTATTTGCAACGACTGAATCGGCGGTCAGGAATCATACACAGGAGACAGATAATTTGCAATCATATTAATGTGGCTTGTTTTACTGCAAAGCATGTTACAGTGCATAGGAAAATTTGGTTATTTTGATAAGATTTCACTAAAACTGTTCACGTTTTTCAAATTAATAATAGGAAACGGAATAAAACGAGATAATTTAGACTTTCTTGAAATTTAGAAACTGCCAAAACATATTTTACGGTGGACATGATTATGTTTAATTGCCCCAATCCGTGTCACCATGCCTAGTTAGTTTCAATATCCCCCGCGTTCGTTGGGAAATTATCATGCTCATTTTATTTAGTAATGTATTATATATTTGGGATATATATGGCCCGTTGACCGTTGCTATATCTAGTAATGGATTGGAGTCCATCAAATGCTAATAGAGAAGTTACATGTGTGCAGTTAAGGCGTACAGCGACACCCGGGTCCCGGTCGTGTCATCATGTATAAGACGCTACCGTGATAATCGTCGTCGTTTAACCACAGAGAGAAATATGCCTCCAAACAGACAAGTCAACCTGTTTTTATTCCCCTAACATTTCCAAAAGTACATCATGTATGCTGACTGACAGTGGCGTAGCCAGGAGCGATCCAGGAATCGGAACCGAAAAAACATTATTTTTGACTCGTCAAATTAATAAAAAAAGCACAGTGCCTGCCGCTTTAAAGAAACCTCTCATTCAATCGCAACTTTCCTCTCAACGGCCTACTAGCAGCCGTCGACTTTTTTCATACTAAAAATTCCTTACTCGGTTATTGAGAAGTAGCGCTCGAGGTGCCATGTCCATTCAACGCTACCGCAATCACCAATATCGAAAAACAGAAACTTTGCGAGCTTTCGATTGAGTTTATTGCATTCACCCTAGTACTACGAGAATAAAGCATTTAACTGGCTGTATCAAATATTAAGACCGAGCAACCTTTATATAAGTCAATTATTTCATGCACCGTTTCTAACTTGGGGTACTCCGGCCTATTAGCGGTGCAAGAACTGTTCCTTCGAAAGTTCGGTTAAACTACAGGGCAGAAGCCACAGCGATAATATCACTGGAGTATGCTGATTTTACAGAGACATTGAATAGTTAATGCATTAGTGTAACTAATTGTGATATTTTTGTGTCAGATACACGAGAAGAATAGAAAATAATGAATAGTTTTTCTATCTATATACGAGACTAAAATTAATTTTCAGCAATTCTACAACAGGGGTGCAAAAAACAGTTATGATTTCATAGGGGTGCGAAGAGTAAAACAGATGAAAAACCTAGCAAAATTAGCCCTCAAATGTGACGTCATAGAATTTGGAGCAAGGTGACCTAAATTCAGAGTACGAGGAGGAAGCATCATTTCGCATCTGCCCTCAAGATAAGTTTAACAACAAATTAGAAAGTTTCGACGAACATTTCAATAACTAGCTCTCAAAACCGTTTTTAAAATATTCCAGATTATACTTATAAAAAATAGCAGGATTCATGTGAAATTGCAGGCTGTCCAAAAATTAAGTTATATTTCTCATACCACTTATCACCACAATTAGGGTCGGTGACTAAAATTCACTGTTATGATATAAATATCACTATTCACAATAATTACGACAAAAAGCTATGTTACAGACAGATCCATCTTCGAGTCTTATTATGGTCAACTTGGTCATACTGAAAGTGACAGTGGAAGATAGAAGGCCAGTATAATCTGGCACTCAGCAAAGAAAGTCACATATTAC